ACTCCTGGGCTCAAGCAATCCTCCCACCGTGGCCTCCCAAAGTGCTGAGATTACAGGCATGAGCCTCCGCACCCACCCTCAGGAAGACCTATTTGGCAGCAGCAGGCCTTCCCTCATATCTCACTAGGAAGGGCTGAGGGGAGGATGTCATAATCTTGCACCTGCCTTACGTGAAAAGTTGTTTATTTTACCAGCATTGCATGACGAGTGGCCGGGTGGGAACTTCAGGCCAGATGGACTTTGTCTTTATTAGATACATATAGACTAGTTTTACCCGTCTTTGCATACTCACACTGGAATGACTAAGGCTTTTGAGTTTTCTTAAAAGTGCTAAGTCTCATGTCCTTGCTACCAATTCATTCCTCTAGGGCATGAACAGTGATATGGCAGCTGGACACAAAGTGTAAGGTCAGAGAAGTGTCCCTCCAGTTTGGCTCCTATGGAAGATCACCGGCATCTGAGCAAGGACAGGCTTAGTCCGGAGGGGGATGGAGGTAGAGGCTACATGCCCGGGGATGAGGAGCAATCCTGAGATGAAGAAGTGAGGAGGAGGAAGGCAGGCAGCCCCTTCAAAAAGCCTGGCTGGGAAAAGCAGGGCAACGATAGGTCCATAGCCAGAGGCAGCTGCAAAGTGAAATTGGGAATGCTTTACACAAGTTAAGCTTAAGCCTGGGCCCATGTTCTCGTAACTGGGTTCTGCAGCGGTCCCTGCTGCCTCCTAAAATAAGGTCACCCTTCCTTGGCCTACTACTCTTCCAGGGGTTAGAACTGTGACGCTGACTCCAACCTGGAAGCTGGGATCTTGCTGCCCACTGAGAAGTTGCCTGCATACTGTCTGCCACCTGCCTGGATTTCTGAGTATTTTCTCCAGCGTGCCTATTGCCAGGCTGTTCTGTGCCACCAGGCTATGCCACTCTTCCAGTGTGAGCCCCAGCTCCTTGCCAACTGTGTGTCTGGATTTTGACTGAAGAGTCTGACAACAGGGATGATATGACTGAACCCTTATGGTCAAGCTGGGTGCGGTGGCTCACGCCTGTGATTCAGCATTTTAGGAGGCTGAAGTGGGCAGATCATTTGAGGCCAGGAGTTTGAGACCAGCCTGGCGAACATGGCAAACCCTGTCTCTACTCAAAATACAAAAATTAGCCAGGCATGGTGGTATACACCTGTAATCCCAGCTACTAAAGAGGCTGAGGCAGGAGAATTGCTTGAGCCTGGGAAGCAGAGGTTGGAGTGTGTTGAGATCAGACCACTGCACTCCAGCCTGGGTGACGGAGCAAGACTCTGTTTCCAAAAAAAAAAAGAAAGAAAAAGAAAAAAAGAAATTGTAAAAACTATACCAAGTTAATGAATCCTAATGATCAAAGCTTGGCTCTATTTCACCCAGTAGCCGGGGGAGCCAGGTCCCAAGTTCACCCTTAGACTCCCATTCAGAAGTAAGCAACCTGCCATACTCTGCCAATTCAACTCTATTTTGAGCCAAGCACAAGCTATATGAAGGTAGCCAACAGTGTGTGCCTCACAGGATGGGCAGAGACCAATGCAGAGTCACCCTAAATGACTCTCCAACTGGAAACCTTGGCTAAATTTACCAATCTCTGGAAGATCAACTTCCTCACAACACATAACAGCAAGTATGCAAACCGAGAACATCAATCTGGCTGGGGAACTGGAGGTGTTAAGCATCTGAGATAGAATGGTGGCTATCAGTACCCCAATAGAGATCATTGTTAAGGTGGCCATGACTCTGAGCAAACAACAGATTCAGAGTTATCAGAATTAGATTAAAATGTCAGCAAAAGCCTGCTGAAGGGCTGAGGGGGGAGAACCCACAACTACAGCTAACCCATAACTACAGCTACCTATGAACAAAAGGCAAGGAAAGAAAATGGACTCAACTTATAAATAAAAAACCCAGCCCCCTGGACAATTCTGAAACTTGAGGTGGAAAATGGTCAGGTGGGAGTAAATCAGGTTGGGTTGTTAGGGCAGTGACCTCCTTCAGAGTTTAAGGCTGTCACCTCAAGTTCATTGCTTGGTAACGGCCAGATTACCAGTCATAACTTCTCCTAACTGACTTTTCTTTTTTTGAGATGGAGTCTCACTCTGTCACCCAGAATGGAGTGCAGTAGTGTGATCTTGGATCACTGCAGCCTCCACCTCCCGGGTCCAAGTGATTCTTGTGCCTCAGCCTCCCTAGTAGTTGGGCTTACAGGCGCCTACCACCATGCCTGGCTAATTTTTGTATTTTTAGTAGAGATGAGGTTTCACCATGTTGCTCAGGTTGGCCTTGAACTTCCGGCCTCAAGCAATACACCTGCCTTGCCCTCCCAATGTACTGGGATTACAGGCATAAGCCATCACACTCAGCCTCCAAATTGACTTTTGTAGACAATTTCTCACAAAATATAGCTCTGGAATGTTTACAGAAAAATCAACAACCTTCCATGCTATGTAAAAGTCTCCTAGCAATGTCAGAGTGAAGTTCTCTTTGTGGTAGATACACCTGAGCACGTTTATTTCTGCTTAGGGTGAACTATTAGAGATGATGTTATTAAATAACACAATGTCTGGGCTTCCATTTGATTCTGGTGTCCTGATTCCCTGCTCCTGTCATGGCTGAAAGATACCATTCTCAGTTGTTGGGAAGCTGTGGTGATCTGGTCCCCCTTGCCCTTTATTTTAAGGCAGGGTCTTGCTCTGTCACCCAGACTGGAGCGCAATGGCATGATCATGGCTCACTGCAACCTCCACCTCCTGAGCTCAAGTGATTCTCCCACCTCAACATCCAGAGTAGCTGGAATCACAGGTGCGTAACACCATACCTGGCTAATTTTTAAAATTTTTTTAGTAGACACAGGGTTTTGCCATGTTGCCCAGGCTGGTCTCATAACTCCTGAACTCAAGGGATCCTCCTGCCTCAGCCTCAAAACATGCCAGATTACAGGCGTGAGCCGTTCATGGGGCAGTTTCTCCTGAATGGTTGATCGCACCATCCCCTTGGTGCTAAGTTCTTATGAGATCTGGTTGTTTAAACGTGTGTAGCACTTTCCCTTCTCTTCTTCCTGCTCCAGCCATGTGAAGTGCTGGCTTCCCCTTCCTCTTCCGCCCTGACTGAAGCCCAGCAGATGGTGCCATGCTTCCTGTACAGCCCACAGAACTATGAGCCAATTAAACCTCTTTTCTCTATAAATTACCCATCCTCAGGTGTCTCTTTATAGCAGTGGGAGAATGGACTAACACAGTCAGGTACTAAATTAAACGGGAGGCTTGCTGATCCTGATTACGTCCTGAAAATTAGAAGAGAATCCCAAAGGAGTTTAAATATTTTTCTCCATAGAATTCTTGAAGGCAATGACAGTTACATGTCCTACCTACAGTCATCACTGAATTCATCATCATTAAAGCCTACATTTTCTTAGTGCCAAGTGAGTTCTTTCTAAAAATATATATTTGGATTTCTTTGGGGTTTTTTGTTTGTTTGTTTTTAAGACAAGAGTTTCGCTCTTTTGCTTAGGCTGGAGTGAAGTGGCGCGATCTCAGGTCACTACAACCTCTGCCTCCCGGGTTCAAGTGATTCTCTTGCCTCAGCCTCCAGAGTTGCTGGGACTACAGGCATACGCCATTACACCTGGCTAATTTTTGTAGTACAAATGGGGTTTTGCCGTGTTGGTCAGGCTGGTCTCAAACTCCTGACCTGAGGTGATCCACCCACCTAGACCTCCCAAAGTGTTAGGATTACAGGCGTGAGCCAGCACACCTGGCCACTTGGATTTCTCAATGTTAATAACAACATTGACTGAGCACCCATAGATGGCAGACACCATGTTAAGTACCTTACAGGTTTACTATACGTTAAACCTGACGGGTGGGGCAAGCATTCTGATCGCCATTTGCTTTTAACTTTTTTTCTTTTTTTTTTTTAGAGACAGGGTCTCGCTATGTTGCCCAGGCTGGAGTGCAGCGGCTATTCACAGGCGCGATCCCACTACTGATCAGCACGGGAGTTTTGACCTGCTCCGTTCCCGACCTGGGCCAGTTCACCCTCCTTAGGTAACCTGGTGGTCCCCTGCTCCTGAGAGGTCACCATATTGATGCCAAACTTAGTGTGGACACCCGATTGGCATAGTGTACTACAGCCCAGAACTCCTGGACTCAAGCTATCCTCCCACCTCAGCCCCCCTAGTAGCTGGGACTACAGGCATGTGCCACCGCGCCCGGCCTGATCACCATTTTGTAGATGATTCTGGAGCTCAGAGGAGTTAAGGAACACGCCCCAAGTCACACAGTCAGTAAGTGGCAGAGCTGAACTTTAAATCCAGGTCTGTGTGATAAACCCAGGGATCCCAAACTAACAAGAAATAAATGAATAAATAAATAAATCCAGGCCTGTGGACCTGCAGACTCAGATCAAGTAATTAACATCGAAACATGTTAATTTTCATGAAACATGAAAGAGAGGACTTTACCACTAAAGACGGTCACTACCTATATCAGGGAATTATCATTAGGCTTAAATAATAGATGCTTTGGCAATCTAGTCAGAAAACCTTGTAGAAAGGTTGTTACTTATGTCCAGAGCACACTGCATAAAAGGAATGCTAAAGGCTCTATTTTTATTACTCATCACACATAACAGGCTCACATTGCTATTTTCTGAAGTTTTAAAAGAACGAAACAAAAAAATAATTCCACTCTGTCTTTGTTGAATCAAATATTCCCCTGCTTCTGAATTCGTTCTGGGGAGATTAGAAAGGGACCTGAGATTAACAGCAACAACAAAGAAAAGATCCAGGAAACAGCTCCCTGTCATTGCTGTGCCAGGGAAGCTGTCCTTTGAAGTCCCTCCTGACAGCTTTGCTTAGGGAAGATGTTTTTCTGCCTAAGACAATGAAGTATTCTCAGAGATCTGCTATTGGAAGAGAGAGAAACAAACTATTACACACCCGCATATTTGCTCGTTGTTTTTAAGTTAGTTTGTTTTAAACTCTGCTTATTACCTGGATCCACATCAGAAGAGCAAGGAAAAGAATGGAATTCCACAGAACTGAAAGCCTCACTGTTGGTGTCTTGGTTGGGTCTCTGCAGGACATAATCTCTTATGTCACACGCAGATGGCAGGTCCAAAGCACTGCTCTCCTCTGACAGGCTGCCTGAAGTGGCGTCCTTAGCTGCCATAGTCCTGCCATGGAAGAAATAGAACAGTGCAATACAAAAGGCATCACATAGCAGGATCCTTCATTAGAGCCAGAGCTTGAATCATTTTATTTGTTTTTTATTTTTATTGTTTTTTTTGTAGAGATCGGGTCTCACCATGTTGCCCAGGCTGGTCTTGAACTCCTGGGCTCAAGCAATCCTCCCATCTCAGCCTCCCAAAGTGCTGGGATTATGGGCATGAGCCACTGTACCCACCCAATTTATTTATTTATTTATTTATTTATTTATTTTTGAGACAGAGTCTCGCTCTGTTGCCAGGCTGGAATACAGTGGCGTGATCTCGGCTCACTGCAGCCTCCACCTCCCAGGTTCGAACAATTCTCCTGCCTAAGCCTCCCAAGTAGCTGGGATTGCAGGCACCCACCACCATGCCTGACTAATTTTTGTATTTTTAGCACAGAAGGGGTTTCACCATGTTGGTCAGGCTGGTCTCGATCTCCTGATCTCGTGATCCACCTGCCTTGGCCTCCCAAAGTGCTGGGATTACAGGTGTGAGCCACCACGCCCAGCCAATAATTTTAAAGGTCAAACAACAGTGAAATCAGAATGACTGACAGTAATCCCCCCTTATCTGCGACTTTGCTCTCTGCAGTTTCAGTTAATCTCACTCAACCATGATTCAAAAATATTAAATAGAAAACTCCAGAAATAAACAATTGATAAGTTTTAAATTGTGCACCATTCTGCGTATCGTGATGAAATCTCATGCTGTCCTGCTCCATCTCACCTGGGACATTCATTACCCTTCTGTCCAGCATATATGAACTATACACACTACCTGCCCCTTAGTCATTCAGTAGCCTTCTCAGTTTTCAGATTGACTGTTGTGGTACCACAGTGGCCTTCCAGTCTCTTGTGTCTGCAGAGCCCCAGTGCTGTAGCCTAAACTACCACGTGATTAGGCAAAGATAGGAAGTGTATAAAAACAAATCAACAGTGAGACCTGGCAAGACCTTTTTGTTTGAGGACACCCAGTCACATGCTGTTGTGCACATTCGCTGAGGCCAAGAGTGAGCCAAGCTATCAGCTGATTGCTCCTGAAAGGAGTGGAGTGATCAAGCTTCCTAAAGAAGCAAGAACATCCTGTCTTTTCACAGGTTCTGTATTAGCCAACCAAGCCTGAAGCTTCAGCAAACAGCTCTGCACCAGGCAACTTTGTCTCCCCCTTCTCCCTTCAAGTTACCTAACATTCTGCTCTGGAGGCTTCTGGAAGGGAACAAACAGGTCAGGGAATGATGCTGGCATATCCTGCCTGCCTGCAAAGGCGCCTTGAAATCCACCACCAACTGAGGGTATCATCAGTGATATGAAATGAATGGAATCCTTTTTGAAAACAAATAGCACATTGATGTGATACCTATCTTTTATTTGTTTTCAGAATAACTTAAATACCAAATACCTCACGAGCTGGGAACTGGACCACAAAAAGAAGACATGTCGACCAGGCGCGGAGGCTCATGCCTGTAATCCCAGCACTTTGGGAGCCCAAGGTGGCTGGATTACATGAGGTCAGGAGTTTGAGACCAGCCTGGCCAACGTGGTTAAACCCGGTCTCCACTAAAAATAAAAAATAAAAAATTAGCTGGGCGCCGTGGTACACACCTGTAGTCCCAGTTACTTGGGAGGCTGAGGCAGGAGAATCACTTGAACCTGGGAGGCAGAGGTTGCACTGAGCTGAGATTGCGCCACTGCATTCCAGCCTGGATGACAGAGCAAGACTCTGTCTCAATTAAAAAAAAAAAAATGGCCAGGTGCAGTGGCTGACACCTATAATCCCAGCACTTTGGGAGGCCAGGCAGGTGGATTGCCTGAGGTCAGGTGTTTGAGACGAGCCTGGCCAACATGGTGAAACCCCGTCTCTACTAAAAAAAAAAAAAAAAAAAAAAAAAAAAGTATTTGTGCATATAAAATACATTATTTGGGATTCAATGCATTTGTACAGAAGTAGAAAACAAGCAATGGAGGCAGATTAAACCCTTCTTGTGGTCTGATCCAAGCAGATGGAATGATTATCCTTTGTCCCAAACCTTTTGACAATGTGGTTCAACTTCCTTCTCCAGAAGTGCTTATTTTCCTCTCTTATGGGTGATTTAATTACACAGCCTGGTGCAGTGGGTCACACCTATAATCCCAGCACTTTGGGAGGCCGAGGCGGGCAGATCACAAGGTCAGGAGTTCAAGACCAGCCTGGCCAATATGGTGAAACCCTGTCTCTACTAAAAATAGAAAAAAATTAGCCAGGCGTGGTGGTGCACGCCTGCAGTCCCAGCTACTCGGGAGGCTGAAGCAGAAGAATCACTTGAACCTGGGAGGCGGAGGTTGCAGTGAGCTGGGATTGTGCCACTGCCCTCCAGCCTGGGTGACAGAGTGAGACTCTGTCTCAAAAAATAAATAAATATAAATAATAAAAAAATTTAAAAAGTTATTGAATTATGCAATCTAAATATTCCTTTTTTTCTGGCCTCAAGCAATCCTCCCACTTTGGCCTCCCAAAGTGATGGGACTGCAGGTATGAACCACTGAGCCCAGAAAAAAAGGAATATTTAGATTGCATAATTCAATAA